GGGGGGGGGGCTGCCCCAGAGGAGAGAATGTCTCAGGGTGTTTCGAGGGGTGTGTCAGGCTGCCCGGGGCTTTGGTCTTCAGCCCGGCTCTGCTGTGTGGCTCACACCAGGTCCTGGGGCAGGATGGAAGGACTCTGAGCCTGTCTAACCCCCAGACCACGATGGGTTTGCTGACAGTACAGTCCTCTGAGGGGGTACTCATGGTGTCTGGATGGGGCTCACAACACCCCAAAGTTGGCCTTGGGCCTCCCTCAGCATGTCATGCCTGCCCCAGGCCCAGTGTCCACTGTCTTCTGGGTGGGCATCTACAGCTTGTGAGGGGATGGTGGTCTCTCAGCTCTCAGCCCCTCACTGTGCAATCCAAAAGACACAGGGACACCGGAGCTGGCCGCAGCTTGCTGTGGTTGTGGGGACCCCAGAGGCAGAGGGCTGTGAAGGGGCATCAGGTTATTGTCATGTAAGGGGACATCAGCCCTCCCCCCAAGGCCAAGCCCTAGGTGCTGGGAAGCAACATTCCAGTCCCTCAAAGACAGGAGCCCATGGGAGGGTACATATTGCTGTGCTCCACTGTTTACAGCCAGGAAGTGGGGCACAGAGGGGCAGTGAGGGTGTGGCCCTGGGGGCGCCCTGTGCCTCCAGAGTGGACTCAGTAGTCTCCTGCCTACCCCAGCCAGCAAAGTGAGGGGGGAGCATGGCAAGGCTGAATAGAGAGAGGTTAAGAGGGGAGTGAGGGGGACAGGAGGAGGAAGCCCCCCCCCAGCACTCTGAGTGGGTCTCAGCACCACGTGGGAGTGCTCGCTTCCCAGCTACATGCTGACCTGAGGCCCCAGGACATCCAGCCCCTGGCCCTGTCCACAGGGTCCTCTGGGATCTGGATCAGAATGGGCCCCATGGTCTCAGTGTGGCCCCTGTCCCAGTATGGCCTGGCCAGGGCACTGCTGACTCCTCACCAGACCTGAAGTGACCAGCAGTGTCCTCTGCTATGGCTGCCCGGTCCCACCCCGCCCGCCCCACCTGTCTGAAAGGATACTCCACCTGTCCAGTGCCTGGTCCTCACTCTGGTGTGGACGGTCAGCTGGAGATGAGGGTTCCAGGAGACAGCATCTGTCCACCTCCCTCCCCTTCCTGCAGTCCCGCCTGACACTTGGAGCAGCCTCCGCCCCTCATGGTGGTCTCCACACCCACTTGGGATCTGGACCCTCACTGAGGCTGTTTAACGTGGACTTGAGGTTGTTGAAGACTGAGTTGAGGCCCAATCTCTCTGAGGTGGGGCATTGCAGACCCTGTGTGCTGGGGGCTTCTGGAACCAGGGCAGCTGAGCAGGGGGAGGCTAGTGACATTGCCAGGCCTGGACAGTCCTCAGACAGTGGCTCTGGGGGCAGCTTGCCGCACATTTCCAGTCTCGCACTGGTGTGGGGGAGCTGAGAGTCATGGGTGACCAGTGAGATTCACAGCAGCCAGGGCCGTGACCTGGGCAGGAGTCCTGGCGGTGGTCCAGGGTGGTCCAGAGCATCCTTGAAGCAGGACTGGCAGTTTCCTTACAGATCCAGTGGCCGGGGAGCGATGAGAGGTCTCCAGGGGAACATAGCAGAGCTTGGGCATCTGAGTCTCCCCTGCTCTGGACGTGGACGGCATGAAGGCGGTGCTAGCTGTAAGTATTGGAAAGCAGATGGCTTCTGGAGACCCAGGCTGGGCAGGAAGCAGTCTTGGGGGTGTCAGGTATATCCTGGGGTCGGGAGAAGGGGCCAGCAGGAACCAGGGAGGAATGAGTGGCCTGTGGGTGGCGGTGTTCTGGAAATTCCTGAGGACAAGGTGGGGTGGGGGAGGCCTCTGTGTGGCCTAGGAGTCGGGACTTGAGGACCAGCTGGGGTGTCCACTGAGGCAGAGATGTGAGGAGGCTCGGAGGAGGGCTGCCCCTGCTCTGAGCCCCAGGATCTCTGGGATGTGAACTGAGTGGGACCCACCTGCCAGGCACACGTAGGTACACCTGGACACAGGCGTTCTGGCCTTCGGAGTGAGAGCAGGACATGTGCTAGGGAAGGGAAGGTGAGCTAGTAGGTGGGACGTGAGATGCTGGTGGGACGTGAGATGCTGGAAGCAGCTGGGGCCTGAGACCTGGGCAGGTGTGTGGTGATGGTGTGTGTGTGGCAGGGAATGTAATCTTGTGTGAGTATATAACAGCAGAATCAGTGGGGGGCAGTGATTAACAGGGTGCTGGCAGTTAAGTCAGCCAGGTGTTGAGGGTTCGTTTGCTGAGGGTGGGCCCGAGTCTAGCCCACCACCTCTGGTCCTCCTTGGGTTCATGGACATGCCCAGCACCCCTTGCTCCCTGAATCCCAGGAACCTCCGTCTCTTCCTCCTCCCCACCTCCATGGCTTCTCACGGGCACAGCCCGGCCCTCGGGGTCTCCATGAGATGGACCCCGCACCTGCTCTCCAGGTTGCTTGGCCCTCAGCTCTGGAGGACTGCACATGGAGACAAAGCCTGGCAGGGAGGTGGTGTGCTGCGAGGGGGCAGACAGGCAGGGGGAGAGGGTCCAGGTTCCCTTAGACAAACAGTGGTACCTGGAAGAACAGAGAGGAAGGAGGGTCCAGGCAGGGCTTTGTGGAGGGGCAGTGATGCAGGGCTGCAGGACATTGAGGGTTGGTGGCCCCCTCAGACACGTGGTCTTTGGGGTACTCAACTCCTGTTGGGGGAAGAGAAGAGGCCAGTGGAGCACTGGAGCACACTGGGAGGGAGTGGAAATGGAGAGGATGATGCCACATACACACACCCTCCTCCCTTTAATACCTGGGTGCTTTCAGGACAGCCAGGTGAGCTTCCTGAGGCTGAGGAAGCTGGGAGAAAGGAGAGCAGAGTCCAAGAGGGACAGGAACACGATGGCCGGGGAGGAGGGAGTTCGGGTGGACCAAGCTTGGGAGGCAAGGGGCGGGCAAGCATGGAATGCTGGTGAGGGAGAGAAGGGGCTTGGAGCCCGGGGGGCCTTGAAGTTCCATCTGGAAGCTGGAATGACCCTGTGCTCTCTGGCCAGTATGTCCATGGTGGGGACAGAGGGCCTGGGGGAGCCTCCCTGTCTTTCCCCCAACTCCTGCCTGCTGTCTTCCTTCTTCAAGCAGAAGGAACTCAGGATAGCTGAATGGTCCAGCGGCTGTGCCCAAATGTTCACGCCTCAACCTCTCCTTTTCCTTGCTGAGCTCAGAGACTGTGCTGTCTTCTAGAAGACACCTCCTGCCATGTAAATGTCCCAAACCAAACAAACCTACTGCCATTGAGTCGTCTGATTACTTGTTCAGTTGGTTTCCAAGGCTGTAAATCTTTACAGGAAGAGAAAGCCTCATCTGTCTCCCGGGGACAGGCTGGTGGCCTCGAACTGCCCACCTTGTGGTTCACGGTCCAGTGCTCATCCTACAATATCACCAGGACTTCTGTGTAAATACCAGGGTCCTACCAAACCAGGACTCAACCTTGCTGTAATACCAAGGGATTTCAAAACGTTCCTGGAAGAAATTCATTATCTTTGAATCCCAGTTCCCCATGAAGTTTTTTTTTTTTTCAGTTTGTAAACTGTTGAAGGTTATTTTTATTTATTTATTTATTTAAAGTTATTTTAAAAAATTCGTATTATGCTGGAATTGCATTTGTTTTTATTTATTTATTTTTAAATGTTTTATTGTGAATTATGTGATAGTTTACATGGGAGAACATTAGTTTTACATTCATT